ACTACTATTGTCGTCATCATCATATTGATGGTATTGATACTCTTCCGCATAGAAATTTTCCATTTTGAATGATAAAATACAAAAATCGTAATTGGTCAGACAATAATAATATTAGCATAGTATTAGTATTAGTATTAGTAGCATTAGTAGTCGATTCCAACCTCTAGATAAACCAGTAACTGTTCAAGCAGCAGAAGAAAAACCGAGCGAATCGTCTGTCAAAATATCATAAACTATTTGAGAATAGAAGAATGACCAAACGAAAAATAAAGATTTTTCCAGAAAACAGCGTAACGGATCCACATTAAATATTGATATTCCAATTATAGCATCATCCCCAGATTTGACCATAATAGAAAAAAAACCCCATTTATTAGAAAGAAAGTTATATCAGAAGATCAGATACATGTGTCGATGCAATTATCAAATAACCAATCACCTAAACCTAGTATATAGAAGAGGATAGTTCTTTACTTTTGATTAATATTGATAATGTTTTTTTTAATTAAACAAATAATAATAATTTTTTAATTTAAATGTAATTACTTTGTTGATTCTAAATAGTAATTATTATTATCATTATTATTTAATAAGAAATTTTCTCTGCATTTATATTTGAACAGTATCATTAGCTAAAGTAACTTTTATCTATCAACACTGAAAAACCAGTATCTTTTGCAATATTCCTACCATAATACCTGATCAATATGAAAACTAATAAAAAAGATGATTCTATAGATAGAGGTGTAATTAATGAAGTATTAGTAGAAGAGGAAGAGGCGGATGGAAATTTTACTATTGAATATTTATCCGAGCCTAATAAAAGAAAAGAACTATTGAATTAGGAAATAACGATCAAGAAAAAATTCAATTAAAGATGATAATCAAGTAATAATAATAATAATAATAATATAATAATAATAATCATTTTATTTTAAAGATTATGTCGGAAACAAAATCAAATGTTTATAAGGAATTTGAAGATGGCAATGTTGTAAGGGAAAAGAAAGAAATTATTCAGACCATAGTATCATTAATGAAGCAATTGATAAATTTTTGTGAAATTAATTTTTTTAAAATTAGAGATTAATTGGAAGGGGATTTATTTTATAAACTACACATATGTATATTTTAGGCTGAAAGCATTCAAAAACATTTGAATGTAAATGAATTCTTTAATCAAAATTAATATAAATGAATAAAGTAAAAGATGACCTATTAGAAGTTAAACAAAACGTGAAGTAATTAGTAAAAAACATAAGCAAAGAAAGAAGATCGAAAGGTTACTTATTATTATTAATAATACTATTATATATCCTTAATGCTCTATTTCATCGCTTTCATACATAATTCTTCTATTATAGAAATTGGAAGGATTACACCTAGACTTGTAATAATAAACACTTGAAACTTCATATAATTACCAATTAATAAATAATATTATTTAACATTAACATTACAATACTTAAATTAAATTTCAGGTCTTATTACATCTCGTACTAACGATTTAACATCAGCAGAGCGTGTGTTCTTAGCATCGCAAAAGGATATAAATAAGTTATTGGAAACTTGACAAGAGATTTTGGAAAAAGAATATCAATGTTGTTATTAGCATTATTGTTAATTCTTTCTTCTACATGTACTAATAAAAACATTTTTATTAGTTAAATTTATATATGTATGCACATAAATAAAATTTTGATTTTATTTGAATAAAACTAGTATTGCCATTAATAATTATTATGCTTACCAATAATTGTTACAACTGCATTTGGATGAATGTATTGATAGATTAAAAGGTATATCATCCATTTCATCAATTTTTTCATCTGAATATTTATTTATGATAATTTTTAAAGCATTAATAATACCTTCAGTAGTTGGTCATTTACTAGGATTGGTATCGAATGCCAATCCGACATAATAAACATTAGGCGAATTGTTCGACTTACTTTTTTTCTACAGATTGCAATTACAAGTTCAAAATCATGTTCCAAATTAATGAATGGTTGGTTGTTCCTGTTTATGCTAGTGATACCAACACACGAAACTGTATATACCCGTTATCATAGTATATGGTTCACTATTGACTACTTCCTGGCGAAAATTGGTTTTCGATTTGCTGGAGTTGATCTGCTAAGAAAAATTTTTTCTTGAAGAATATGTCACTATGAATGATTTCCTGTTTATAGATCAATCACCTTAAACAAATAATATTTTTAATATTTTTTGTCTAAACTATTAAAATTTTTTAATAAATAATTTAGTAGACTTCCATCTTTTAAATATTGTTATATCAAAATATATTCTTTGTAATTGGATCTAGTTAATTCGTAAATTTGAAATATATCTAATTAATTTTTTACCATGAAATTTGTCAGTTTTTAAACTAAAACAATTAATTATTATTATTATTATTATATTAATGTAGTTTTGGGTTTCTGCTAAATAAATATATTTACTATATTTATTATATATATTTTTTTACAATGAATTTTGTTATTAATAAAAAAATTTTATTTAAAAAAAAAAAAAAAAAAAACCAATATTTAGCAATCGATCATCTATTTTAATGGAATAATTTTCTCTTTTTCACACACACATAATCAAGATGCATATCTAAATATAAATATAAATATTATTATCGTCATCATCATCATCATCATCATCATTATTACTATTATAATTATATAAATTAATTAATTACCGTTTAGTCCAATCTTTTGCAATTCTATCGTGTTCTTCACGATCATATAAGTATTGATTCGCTATATTTCCAACCAAAGGATCATCTAAAATAACATATTATTATTATTATTATTATTATTATGATAACATGTAATATAGCATCATATTGATAAATCGTCGACTCACATGGATTTGCGTCAGTTAATAATGAACATATTGATAATAAGACTTTTGATATTGTTAAAGCAGGCGACCAATTGTCTTTAAGAATATCAAGACAAATTTGACCTGAAGAGTTGATATTACAATGATAGATACGTGTACGAAATACCACCTGATAGATATGGAGTATGCAATAAAATGAAACATATATCATCACACGTATAATATTCGTGTAAGCATTGTCATCATTTCATACCTTTGGAGGCTTGAATGGATAATCTTGGGGAAAATTAATGTCTAGAAAGAATATTCCGCCAGCATATGGCGAATCAGCCGGTCCTGTGATTGTAGATACCCAGTCATATAAATTATCTCCTTTTGGACTTGCACTAATGTTAATTAATAATTTTTTAATTAGCGAAATGGAATATATGAATTGCAATTTGTAATGCAATTAGTGAAATGCAATCACAATTATATAAATTTGCATATCTTACCTGCAATTACATGGTGGATCAAGACTAATTTCTGCAAGCTCTTTTTGAATTCTAATAATATTATTTTATTTATATATATTAAAATAGCACATTATACAAAGAATTTCAAATTCATTAATCTAACTTTTTTTAAGAGCCGCATTAAAAACATTATACACTTACCTTTTAGCGCTACTACTCAGCGGATTATTATTAAATCTACTTGAAGAAGAGAACTTACCACTACTCCCATTACTGGAACTAGAAGAAGAGGAAGTTGAGGCAATTGGTACAGTACTACTAGTAGAGGAAGTTGGAGGGCTAGAAGAAGAACTTGCTGACGGTGATGTGATTGTTGTAGTAGTTGTTGTTGTTGTCGATGGTGTAGATGTGGTTGATGTTGTAGTTATGGTAGAAGTTGTTGAGCCAGATCGAGAACTAATAGAACGTGAACTTTTACGTTTTGTCGACATTTTGTTATTGTTAAAAAAAAAACAAGAAAAGGAAAATGACAAACCAGCTTAAATTTCCCTTTTTATATGATTAATTACTATATTAGACTTGGATTATGCTAATTACATGTGTATGACAATGTAAATTTATGCAGACGCGCACACCAGGACCCTGAATTGCGAACCCTCTTATGATTGGCTGCCTACGAAGGCCAATTTTGACGTGTGTATTAATATAGATTTTCGTCTATTATAACCCTTGAGAGAAATTTCAATCAAAGCAACGTTATTTTGAAATCTGAGCCTTTGACAAAAATTGGCCCATATAGGCTTTTAAATAGAAACAAGGACAATGTTGAAAATGATGTTTTGAGAAAAATGAAAAAGGATCTGCATTTTATTTAAGACATCTCAAAAATTTTACTATAGTTTCTAAGCCAAAAATGTTCTACCTAAATAAGGGTGGGTGGTATTAACTCAAAATTGGCCTTCTTATTGAAAAGCCCATATGTATGAAATGTTTTAAATACATAAAAGAAGATCAATAGCATTTATGGACAATGTTGGGTCAATGAAGCAACAAAATTTAATAAACAAAGCAGGTAATAAAATGGTCACTCAACCTAATATGTATATTGGTGAAAATCCCAATCTGACATACATAAAAACAATATTTTTTTACATATATGAATTTAATGGGATAAAGCAAATGATATCATGTGGTCACGTTGCAAAGTTACTATATTTTTTTGTAGCCTTTTTTTTTCTTTTACTGAATTTGGTGTTCTGGAAATTGTATCATAATAGATCTGCAAATTTCTTCTATTAATACTGCCATTTACACAATCAAACATTTTGATTAAATGTTAAAATGGTTGTTTATTTATTTATTTATTTATTTATTTATTTATTATTAACATTATTTATATGTATATATACAAATTTATTGTCAACAATATATTATAAGATAGTAAATCATGGACCAACCAATTGTCCCAATTAATGTTGATCAATCAGAATGAACTTACTATGGCAGTTATGTGCCAAATATTGATATGTATTATTAATCTTTTGTTTAAAATAATTAACATTAGTAAACTTAATTAGCCACAATTTATAATTAAAAGCATATTTTATTGGATAGTGGAATATATACATGCTATCAAAATTAATTTGGCTTTGACTCAATTCCCAAAATCTCAATTTTTAATTGCATCTGACTCAATTATTTATATGTTTTCATAAGAAGATTTAAAATTAATGCTTACTCATTTATTTTTATGCCTTTTCATGGCGATTTCTGGATGCTGATGAGAAAATGTAAGCAAAAAAATTTGGGGATGTAGAGAAGCAATAATGAAAACAAAAGGGTTGTATTCATGTGTTGTCAATAAATGCAAACAAATTCACCTATGCTGAATTGGAAGAAAAATTTTGTGTAGATAAATTGTTACATATTAGATTTTTCTTGAAATTGTATTTATATTAGTTACTTTTAATGATAATTAAAAAAATGCTTATGTTTTATGAAGCTTTTAACAAATAGTGTGACCAGTGCCAGATATAAATTATTATTGCCTGTGAACAGATTCTATAGTTCACTTTCTCTATAATGGATCTTTCTATAACAGACTGAGAATTAAGCCCAATTTATATGTCCATATAACAGGTTCTCTCTACAGTTCACTCTCTATAATAATAAATAATAAAACAGATTTTGTTCTGTATCTTGTTCTATAACAGGCTATAATGGCATTTTTTCCTAACTCAGATAATCCATTATAGAGTGAACTGTGAATAGGAAAAAAATTAATATAATAAATATTTTCTAGATGTTAAGTTAATGAATTTTTAAAATATTTAAAATAAATTACTTTGAACTCTTCATGGAAAAATTTTGGAAAGCATGATGGAGGTAAATGTATGAAAGTAAAACAATTTCTAAGAGCAAATCTAAAACAAAGAGGAGAAGCAGGTGAGTTGGATGCAAACCAAAAATAAAACTATAGAAAATTGAAAAACAGAGAACATAAAAAATAATCAGCCAAGAAGAATTGGATATTATTGTTATATCATAAAAAAGAACCAATAAACATAATTTTTTAGTTTTATTATTCTGTAAATTCCAGTATTATACATAAAAAAGTTGATTTTTATCCCCAATCAAGATTGACAAAAAAAGTTTTTTTTTTGTTTATTGACGTCCACGAATTAATTGTATACTCACTCACGTCACGTCACAAAGTCACAAATTACGTCTTGTGCAACTACATTATTGCTTCAGAAACTCTAAGCTTTCATATTAGAAAAATCACTATTTAATCGAACTAATACTTTTTTTGCAATCCGTTACGCCTTTATGATTGTAGTAATATCAGTATTCTTCGTTATAATATCTGTTATTTTCTTCTGACACGCTTGGGGAAGCTGTTGGCCTTCATTATATAATTGGAATTTGCAAATCTTTTAAGAGAATTAGATGTAGCAGAAAATGCTATTGAGGGATTTAGATAATAGTGATCTTGAAGGTTTAATTTTTTTCTCTCTCAAAGGTAATGTTTCAATGGCTTATTTAAATATTAATGAATTGTCTCCTTGATGGTTGTGGCAATAATATCGAAAAACTATTGTTTTTAGAGATCCTGTCTGAAAAACTGTGTCTAAGTTAAGATTTTTAAATAAACTAAATGTGAATTTTATACTTTTTTTCGATATTCCCATATGTAAGTTATTGTGAAAGTTAAATATTTGAACCCTGAAATTTCCTCCTTACATATGTTCGTCAATCCATATAAAATAAATATTTCAAGCCTTGTAACTCTTTTTTTTTTTATAAACAGCGCTTAAAAAACTTTTATCAGTTATAATCCTTATTATTATTGGTTCATATTTATGCAAAAAATTTAGATTAGAAGAACTTATAACCATATTTTGCTAGCATTGCCAAGAGGAGGAGGGTTGTACCAATTGAAACACAAACCTGTTTACAGAACACTAAAGAATATAACAAGGAAACTATCCCGGCAATCTATTACTATGTAAAAAGTTTTTGGGGAAAAAATTTGGAAAACAAGAAGCGAAGGTGTCGCCAAATAGGAATTAAGAAGTAGGAGGGGAAAAGACGAGAGAACAGTAAATAGTAATAATATTAGTAAGTAATAATTAATAGTAGTAGTATAATAATTAAACATTAATTATGTAAATATATATGTATAGAAAACCAAATTTTATATAATAAAGTAACCGAGTTGTGGTGATGTCATGGGTCGGTAGGCCTGGATTGTCATCTTCGTTCAAGATGGCAAGTCACAGTTTTGATAGTGATATTATCATGACTGGTCAAGAAAGGTCCTCTATGGTTTGTTTTTTTAGTCCTACGTTCCCAATTTTTGGAGGAATTAAAGGATCTGCGAGGCCAACAAAAAGTCCAGCGACTAGGTGATTTCTTGCCAGAGGGGAGAGTAGTAATAGTAGGCAGAAAGGTCATTTTAATTTACAAGTTTTCCCGGCAAAATTTTTCAGACGATCAATATATAGTTAAGAGAGAAATTACAATAATCTATATAAATAATAAATTTAGTATACATGCCCGTCCGCCATTCAGGATGGCAGGAAGATATACATGCAACCAGACCAAAAAAAAAAATTATATAATTCGAGTAACATTATTTAATTTTAAAAAGAAACAATTTTTCTATTCTCACATTAACAAAAATTTAAAAATTTAAAAAATGTCTAAAAAACATAATAATAACAGTGTAGTTGATACAACTTCATCAGATTCTTCGCATAAACAACCAATAAAAAATCTGGGTTTTGGCGAGATTACCATAACATTTTCACCATTAAAAGCCATATCACTTTTAATGATCATTATTTCAGCATTATATGGCTTGGATATATATAGAGACAACAAATCAGTATGTGACGTTGTAGTTGAAGTTAATGATGACAAGTATGGATGGCTTCCTGTTCCTGAACATTCAAGTTCTGCCCTTGCAAGATATAAACATTTGGATAATGGAGCATTTGTTTATCGACACATCTACATGGACGAATTTCAAAAAGAATTCAACGTTCAACCCGTTCATTATCCAGTTAGTATACATGTTTTTTATTTACGCAATTACTTATATTAAAGTATATGTCACTTTTATAATTATATATTTAAATATTATTCTTAGGTGTATGATGTTGAACTTGCGAAATATTTAGAAAAACATGATCTAGTAAATAGACTAAGAGCTAATGAAACAATTGATCAAAGTATTGTTACAAATATTTTAAGGGAATCAGAAAGATATGCACCGTTTCTTGCCAATATTAAAGCAAAAGTTGAGAAGGGGGCTTTTGTTGATGATGAGAGTGTTTATGTTCGATGGGTTAATGACGATGTAAGATATGGAATGTTTGCTGCAAAAGATTTCGTACCAAGAGATTTCATTGGAGTTTATGCTGGTAGATTATTTATTTGTTATAAATGATTTGATTGTGAATGATTACAAAGATTTGATTATAATGAAAATGATCATATAATGATTGATTATTAAATGTTTGTATATTTTTCTTTTAGGCATGATAACTCATCGTCTTACAGATCTTGAATATGGTAATTTGATTTTTTTAATTATTTAATATACTTAAAAAAATTTTATACGAATAATAAATTTATTTATTATTTTAATCGTAATTAAATTTATTTAATTATATTCTGATTGTGATCATTGTAGCATGGGAGTTCAATTATCTTGTAGATATAAATAATGAGGATGGTCAAAGGATTAGAGCTTGTATTGATGCTAAATATTATGGAAATTATTTGAGATTCGCAAATCATCGTGACAGTAAGTCCACTATTCAAAAAATGGAAAAATAAATGTCCACATGTTTTGCGTGCACAATAAATCTTTACATATTTTTATAAATATAATTTTTAGACAATCAAAATGCAGGACAATTATACGTTGCTTATAATGATATCTGGAATGTAGTATATCTTGCACAATCCTATATTAAAGTAAGTAATTTATATTACCTATTGAAGAATTGATTAAATTATTATTTATTATTATTAATGCAAGCGCCAATTATTTTATTATCGCTATAATAGCCTCACGAACAAATCTTTGTTAATTATGGTCAAGGATATTGGGAAAACAAGAAAAAATATGATTTATAAGAATGAACAATATTAATATAATATTTTGAAAATATAGATTTAATTTTTGTTTCTATTTTTTTTATATTATTTAGTTATACACACAAAAAAAAAAATATAATAAAATTTATTTATTTCATTATTAATTTGAGCAAGTGTTTTTAACTAATAGAAGTTTGCCTTACTAAAAAAAATTAAAGAGAATTAAAATTCCCAAAAAAAACTTCAATTTAAAAAAAAATTAATCTAAACATTAAATTTAATTGAATCTATTTTTATTAAAATAAATGTAAATTTTGTACAATTAACAATAACGTCAATTATCATTAATTACAAATGAAAATGATGTCACTACTACTACTACTACTACTACTGTTATTATTATTATAAAATGATTAGAATAATAAAGAAATTAAGACAACACTTCCACTAAATATTACTAAATTAAATAAATTATTACTAATACTGAGATTATTATTCTTAATTGAATTAGCAGATGATGGCTTGTCTGTTGATGAAGTTGATGGAGATGGAGATGGAGATGGAGATGGAGATGAAGGTGGGGATGATGGGGCAGGAGATGGTAATGCTGCTGCTGAAGTTGTTTTTGGAGCACTATCACCAATATATATGATACCCCACATACCACCTCCACTGCAATGATTTTGCACACTACATAAATACCAAAGTATACCCTTATCTTTTGTAATATCCAATGTAAATTGATTGGTAGGTGGATTAGTTACTGATTGAACTGGAGATTATGGATTATGATATAGGTTTTGAAGAGTCAGGATTGGTGATTATTAGGGAATTGGAAGTTAGTGGGAATCGTAATAATATTATTTAAGGTTTAAATAATTGATTCAAATATTAAAAATATTAATTACTTACAAGCATCAGTTGCGGTTGATAATTCGCATGAACCATCAGGTCCATCTGATTGAACTACATTATGATTTCCACCATCAAAGATCCATACAATCTATAAATTATAATTAATCGTGTTATTATCATAAATGATTATTATAAAATGTGTAATAATAATGTCGTTATTACTTACCGTATCACCTTTAACCACTGTGACATTTTGAGGTCTAAATGATAATGTTGGTAATCCCGTTTTTTCATCTTTTCCACCTACGTGAACAGTTATGTTTGCTGAAGATACGAAGGTCGAAAGAAAACAAACCAAAATTAAACTGATACTGAATAATATTCTTCGCGACATCGTGTATATAAATATAGATTGGTTCGTTAAATAATTATCAAAATTTCTTTTAAAATCGTAATTTATATACTTTAATATTAAATAAAACAAAGAATATTAACCAACAAAAAAATCTCGAAACAAATTAATTTAATAATATTAAGAATTAAAAAAATCTTCAAAAATAGATAATTTTAAAAGAAAATTTTGTTGGCAAAGAAGATATTAATATTTATTTTTATATCTTTATATATAAAATTGGCAGTGTGATGCATTATTTTTAAATTGCAATTAATTAAAATTTCTAAAAATAGAAAGGAACTGGTTATTTTGTTTATTCTGTTAATAGTGTGGCGTGTAAAATTTTATTTGTACAACAAAAGAAACATTACCCGAAAATCGAAATGAAAATCTCTTCGAAAATTTATGTTCCAAAAAAGTCTTGGTGTTTTTGCTATTAAAAGAATTTATTTATTTCCGTTCATATATTGATATTTCATTATTTATTTAATTATCATATTCATCATCTTTTTTCATCGACGATAAGAACAATTTTCCTGGATAACATCAATTTTCATTGATGGTAATAATATCGATTATTCAATAATTAATTCATATGCATAAAAGAACCTGAAGTTCATAGCAACAATTTTAATAATTATAATATTCCTAAGCCACAGCATTAGCTTGAAACAAGTTTCTAATTGGTGATAATACTTTGCCCCTTTCCAATCTCACGCCTCTTATGTATAATATTATTCTAAGCCTATCTAAGCAACTGTCATGAATGGTTGCAACTCCAAAAAAATTAATTGATTTTATATCTTTCAATAAAACTTGATTGAACACTTGGATTATTTTGAACCGCCAAATGTATAATTAGAGATTATTATCTTCTTCTGAGCAACTATGAAATGTTGTTATTAGAGAGAGCCTTACAAAACTTCCATAATAATAATAATAATAAATTATCGATTGCGAATGTTTTGAAATTGCGCTTAATAGTTTATCCGATATTTTTGAGCCTTTATCAATTGAGCTAAGACTATCTATCATTAATCTGGATTTATCCTTTTTCGACACCATTATTAAATAAATTAATCTGTTAAAGATTAAAAGAATCACGTTCCAATTTATTGAGATTCTCGAAACAATTATTGCCAACTGAAGCATATTAATAGTTGTTGCATGATCCAAAACAAACAATTAATTTTCGTAATGTCGCAAACTTTATTGATTAGAAAATTCAATGTGAATTGTTCTTTTTTAAAAAATCCATGTCATCCAAAAACAATTAATCAACAATATATTAATGTTTGCCTTCAAAAATGGGATGGAACTTTCCCTAATCAAGGCTATGCCATTGTTTATTAACCAGAATAATCATAAATGTACGAAAACATTTCAGTTTAAAGTTCAAATAGTAAAGACATTTTGTTAGAAAGAGAAATTTTTTCAATCACGTCATAAAAACGTGACTTGATTATCTATTTTATTAAATAAGTTGATTTACAAATTAAATTTATATTTTTATATTAATTACATTCTTGATGGCAAAAAAAAAAAAGATTATATATATTAGCAATATGTTTCCAGGACGAAAAATATTAATAATATCAAGAAAAGACAACATTATTGTTGTTGCCATTATCATCAAATTCTTACCTGTAAAGTCATTTGTTTATCGGGATCAATAGAATTCCATAATGTTGTTTTATATTCTTCTGTAAAACTGTTTAGAATAACTTTTAAAGCACTAACCATCCTTGTAGCTGTATCTTCCGGTAATATTTCAGCTGCAAGTACATCAATAAAAATATTAACAATATGAGGGAGATTTGCATTGTTATTTCCAAGAATTGCTGGATGTTGTCTACAAATAAATAAAATATGAATTAGTATATGAAAAATTGATTGATTTATTTTATTCGAAATTTTTTTACTTACGCCTCTAATAGATCTAATAAGTATGAATAGGTAAGAGCTGCCTCTTCCTCATCGTAAAGAATGGGAAGTGATGCAAACCATGAAGGCAGTACTGTGTTTACGTCTATTTTAGTATTATTAAATTTAAGTATTTTTGTGATCGCTGAAATGGCATTTTCTGTTGCATAAACATTTTCATCTTTTCTTGAATCTTCAGTGTTTATTATTTGAAATAATGGATTTAATGATGCTATTGAAATAAACAAAATATTATTGTTGTTGTTATTTGATTATTATTTATAAAAATACCATTATACTTTTAATAAATTTGTAAATAATAAAACAATTAAATTTTGTTTTCATAAATAATTAACCTGCAATTGCGTCTGTGTAGTTTTCTCCTCCAAATTGTGCGCATACTCCAATACCATACGCTGCAGCTTGCCTAACATCCGGTGCTATAAACATGTCGTATTAATAAATTATATATAATTATATAAACATCTATTTTTTAAAAAAAAAAGAAAAAAAGAAAACCTATATCCATTAATGAAGCAATCATTTTTTCTAAAAAGTGAGCATGATAATTCCATGACGCGGGTCCAGTAAACTCAATAACATCATCAATGACACATAAAGCCCATTGCCTAGCAGATGAATTAGCGTCAGCTAAAAACATTTTGACAACGGGCAATAAATTATCAAATGATGAAAGATACGCTGTTCGATGAGTTTTCAGGATGACATGTAAAGCTTTTGACAATTCACCCAAAACACCTTCTTCTGTCGCCTCTTCTTCCATAATAAGGTCCTCGTCATCAGCATCATAATCGCCACTATGACGAGCTTGTTCGCGTTGTTGCAATCTTCGATAGAATTCTTGCAATTGGGCTTCAGTAGCTTTGGTAAAAACATTCAATAATTGCTCATCAAGACTATTATCACCAACCACCTCAAGTGATTCATGAAAAGTAACATACAATTGCCATAGAAAACTGGTATCAGTCTCGATCATAATACACTCGATAATTTTTTTTGCAATCGTGTGCCACATATTTAGAATATATTCTGGGCTAGCATTTGCTTTTTTGACTGCTTGTAATAAATGAGGAATTGTGGCTGCTGCAGCATTTCTAACACCTTCGTGAAAAAGAAATTTTAATAATGGCAAGACGATTTCCAAAACTTGCTCAACATATGGACAAAATGCTGGTCCTAGTTCACGAGCATAACAAATCAACATTTCAACAGCTGTACATTTTTCTTCCAATACAGTTGTTTTAATACCAATTTGCTATGTTAAAAAATAGATGCATATATGTGCGTGAGTACGTGTGGTTATTAGTGTTATCATTATTTAAAGAATCTATAAATTTATAATTATTTACCTGACCCTCTACACCTACAAATTCCCAACCATCTTCAATTGAATATTTGTTTTCAATATCTTCATCGGCTAAAGTATTTAATTAATGATAAGTTTTAAACCATTATACAAATTCACATGTATCCATATTTTTTATAGTATATACAAAATAACTTACGATCTAAGATAGCAAAATCAGGTTTTAATTGAGCAGATTGAAGAAGAGGTGGCATAACAGTTGGAAGGTAGGGCACAAAATCTGGACCAAGTACTTTACAAACTCTAGCCCAAGAAGCAATAAGATATGATACTTGAGGATCGTCAGGTTCAGTAACAGATTCTGTACAAATATGATTATTAATTAAGGCAATGTTAATCTTGATGTTAATGACAAATTCACTAATAAAAATATCGTCAATGTTTCCTTAACAATAACAATAACAACCCTAACCAAATAATACATACGTTGAATCATCGTCAACAACTGTATAAATTCAGGAGCATTTTGTAAAAAAATTTCTTTTCCAACCGCCAAAGCTATAAAAAAAGGAAAGATCATCATATATACATGCAAAGAATCATCACATAACAAAAATTAATCAATCAATCTACCAATAAGACTAGCACATTCCATCGCTTTACCACGTAACAATCGATATTCTTTCTGACAAGCATCTCTTAATACATTAATTAATAAAGGCATAATTCTACTATAATACTAATAATAAAAATAAAAATTAATTTGAATCATATAAATAAATATGTGTTTATATAAATACATTACAAACATACATGCATATAATTTTTTACATACTTTTACGAATCTATCTTCTGAACTGTCAGCTACAGTAGCGATGGTGGTGATGGCTTGTTCTTGAACATAAGTTCTTCCTGAATTTAAAAGAACAAGTAGTCTTTCAAAAATTGTATCCAAATATGGTTCAAGTATTGATTTATCAGCTGCTTCACAAAAATTAACTAGAGCTGCAGCCGCGTGAGCTTGAACTCTTTTTTTTTTTTTTGATGGGAGAAAGAGTAATAGTAGTAATAATAATAATAATAATAATAATAATAATAACAACAATAATAATATATCATTATCTTGATTAATTATATTAATAACTTTATTATTTTACTCAATGTAATAACGATATATATAATCAATCAATTATATTCACCTAGCTTCAGGTGCATCCATTACGGGAATTAAATTGGTGAGAACAAGTTGATGATATTTTCGTTGGAGTGTATCTTGAAAATCTGTTGACATTTGACCAATAGCATTACAAGCAGCATATCTTACTCTAGAATTTTGATCTCTGAGATACGGCAATACCAATCTTCAAACAAAAATAATTATTATAATGATTATAATAATAATAAATATATGTATATATAAATATATATGTATGTATGCATATGTACATACATTTATATTACTGATATAATAAGAAACATACTCGATAATTTTTCCCAATTCAGCTTCCATGATCTTCACACAACCTTCACCAATAGCAGAAATAGCCATTAGAGCTGCATGGCGTTGTTCCCAACTTTCAGATCCCAACATGGAAGGAATATATTGAAAAGCTATTGGAAGTACAGCTTTTCCACCTGTAATCAGTTATATTAATCAAACACAATTAATATACATATACTTAATTATTGATGAATCAATATACAAAAATCACATTACCAAGATTACGAGCCAATCTATCCATGGCATGCTCACCAACCACATAATTTTCATCATTATCACTATCTTCCAACTGAAACAAAATTTTTGAATAATTTATATATTATAAGTAAATATGTATATATGCGTGCGCGCGTATTTCTGATTGATAATGTAACATAACAAAGCAGCAATAACATACATCATCTGTGGTATGCCATGATTCTATGTCTACCAAATCTGTCATCATCTCCAAAGCAATTGGTATAACTTGAGTACAAAAATCAGGTGATTTACGCATCATTGATGGAGATGTTTCTGATAAAGTCAACAATAGCTCCAAAGCAGTTTGACGAGTATTATCCTCAAAAGATTTGTCCTTCATAATGCTTACAGAAAAGGAAATGACACTAGAAAGTACAGGTCTAAATATCCGAGGTAAACTTTCGCCCAGTTCAATGAACACCATTATACCATCAATCAATCCATCTCCATCGTGTTTGGTTACCAAGGGAAAAAGCACCTACATAGATAAAAAATTTAAAAGCTTAGATTAATTTGTAATTCTTTTAGGAAAAATAATAATGATGATGATAAATTTTTTATTTATTACATCTAACATTTGTGGCATTAACTCAGCAAAAGAACTCCTGTTTTGCTGGTCAGTTTCCAAAACAAAAGCGACGGAAGCTTTCAAAGTAGCCATACGAATCTAATAATGTATTACATACAGTGTTATTAAAATATTATTATAATAATGAATAATATACATAAAATAAAAAACTTCTATATACCTCTGGATTGTCAACAACTTGTAAATTTTCAGAAAAAACTTGTTTTACAATCTCTATTGGTTGGTCTGTGATAAGAGTAGGTACAGCTGAAAATATACGTAGAGCAGCTTCACGATGTTCAACGGAAAGTGATTTACTTGCTTCAAAAAGAGCCGGTAATAATTGATCCCACTTTTCTAAATTAGAAAATAGTATAAATACATAATTAATTATTTGTTTAGATTTTACTCGATCAAACATTAACTAATTAATCGAATTAACTAACTACTTACGTCCTTTCCCAATCATGTTCTTTGCTATCTCGGATACGACATCACAAACTTTGTGACGTACAGTGTTTTCTTGCTCAATTGATAAAGCAATCAATAAGTCATGTTTAATAGCCTCCCTACTCTGAGATGGAATAGAATCCCATACAGTCACACCATCAATCTTAACAGTTTGATTTTGTACTTGTCTAAAAGCAATTCTACGAAGCAGTACAAAAGCAAATGCTCTTCCCTACAAATTCAAAAAAAATATACTAGACGCGTCATAGTGTGTGTGTGTGTGTGTGTGTGTGTGTGTGTATAATAAGTTAATGATAAAAATTTACCTCGATTTTGTCGTGAGTTCTACCGAGTTGTGTTAGTGAAAGAAGTAAAAAGTTTGGTTGTTGGGCGAGCCACTGTTCATTTAATTGTTTCTCGGCTGTTGTTCGTAGATCATTATCATTAGTGGCCAAATTTAAAAAGACTTGGTTGAATTGAGAAACTAGCTCTGGTGAAACAAGTGATGAGACGGCAGTTTCCATTACTTTTGTGAAAAAAAAAACAAATAAAGTCCTAATAAAAATGCCAAAGTAAAATGAAACAGATGTTTCACTCGTGAGTATTAATATATGAAGATCAATAACAACACGTAAAACAACATTTCCACTTGAACATTAATTTTTTTTAAAAACTCGAAATAATGAATGAAAAACGATTTTTCGAGATTATGACATACTCTATAAAAGGCCTTTTTAAAGATCGATTTCGTTAAAAGTTTAATTAAAAAAGATTCAAGGGAGCTAGCTATTTTTTTTTTGTTTTGATGATTTTATTTATTAAAAAATTTTTTTTTGAAAAAAAAATTTGCTGTAAAACAATAGAAACAATGATTTACAAAAAAATCATCAGAAAGGAAAGAGTAATGACGTCATGTTTTTTTGTTGTTGGTATTAGGTAATAAATATATTAATATATAAATTTAAAATAAAATATAATAATAACAACAATAACAATAATAGCGATCAATTCTACCCCAAAACTATTTTATTATTCCGAGTTAAGGAAAGTTATTATTATGCGACGCACAACCCACACATCTCGCTGCATTTAAATTCCTGAATAGAAATCACGTATTTATTTTTCCTATTTGTCAATATTAGATTGCAATAAAATATCGATTGATTCGCATCGGTCTTTTAAATGTTTACCGCTTTAAAGTCAATTATTGTTGTTGCCAATAATAAATTTGTGTTATAAAAAACAAATTGCTCAAATCTAAACCCAAATTCAAATTCAAATTCAAATCTGTTACCGGAATTAGACTTTAACGCAGATATTTTGACCGAACCTCTTAATTTCCGGGATAATTTAATTTTTATTTCTATTTTAATTATTTTTTTTATCTTTATTCTATTAGCATGGTGGACATTCATTTGTTCCACAAAATCATAAAATGTTACACAGAAAAAATTTATTTAATTTTGTTGAAATGCATACAACGCGTTTTTTAAAGATTGATCAAGATTAAATCTCCTTTTAAAATTAATTCTTCAGACCCCTCCAAATTAATATTATCTTCATTGTCTATAGTATTTTCATCCTCCTCTTCATCTTCTTCATCTAATATGGATGTATTGTCTAAACTTTCTAATCTATTATT